TACAGTATGCCCAGTTTTTTCCGAGCCGAATGTACTAGTTTGCCTAATTTGTATAAAGTGCTCTTCATTCTTTCAAGTTCCATTGCCCAGGAAGGCCGATGAAGATGTGTCGACGCCTACGATGCTCAAATATTGTGACGGATCCTCGTAGAGCCAGACTGAATGTGCCTAAAACCTCGATTGACGACATACCCTAATTTGCCATATTGCTTCCATCAGACTGCTCATCATGTGGGCAGTTCATCCGGAAAATGTTCTCGGCTGAAAAGGAGAGGATACGATATAGTGGTGCATTTTATCCATCGAACCATGACTGAAAACATGAAACCGGTTGGCTAAGAGGTTTGACCTCATGCTTGCTGAACTACTGAATGCATCGTCAGAACTGTCAGAGTGACTTGAGCAATTCTTTGCTCAGAAAATTCAATTTTGTTGTGTAAGCATGTCTCAATTTGCAAAATAAGAGTGCCTTTCAACGTTTTTGCAATGACTCAAAAACCCGTACACTCTAAGCACACATTTATTCCGTCATGTTTTAGTAGTTCTTATTTTGCCAGTATTTTTGTTTACCACCTTGTCTACAAACTGTATAGAGTGCGATCCTGACGAGATCTCAAGCTATGATTGGCCCAAAGGCTCATTGGGACTCGCATATTCAATATCTCCGTTTGAAGCACCGCCTCTTCACCAGCCCAGGCAACAATTCAATTGTCGCGAATTGAAACCTCTCAACTTGCTGCTAGTGCTGGGCGATGAAGGGCCGCGACAGCAACGTCAGGCAGATGCGCCTGCCTTGATGCCGCCCCAGACAAACGACGCACCAATCCGCTTCTCAATCTGTGGACTGCGTCAGTGGAGCGATGGTCCGCCGAAGATGGCACAAGACTGTCTCCGTTTGCGTGATCCGGTGGGAAAGGTGGGCAGAGCTGGGCTACCTTTCAACCAAAGCTCCGGAATAGCTTGAATAATTTCATTTGCTCTTGGTCTTTCTGCTAGGCCAACTCTCCGAATAGCACACATAGCCAGTCACACCCAGGAATGGGATTACCAACTTTCTGTGGTATCTGTTTCGTGGACTTGTTGGGAAAATTTGCCTTTATTTCACTTGACCGTCGTGTCTGGTGAGAGCTTTGGTCAATTGTGTGGTCGACGCGGTGGGAAGCCTCCCCTATTTGCCATCGTCCTTGTCGCATCTCAATTCCTAATGGGCGTCTCAAGGCCTAGTGCCTAAACGCTGTATGCATCCGAGTCTTTCGACATGAGGGGCATCCACCCTAATCCGTTTTAAGGTGATTAGCGCACTGGTAGTTGGATTTTCCCACAATCATATGAGTAGACCTTTCGTCTCCATAAGATCGTGGAAAGATTCAGCGACCAGTCCCCTTATTACCTTAAAATGAAATATGATGAATAGATTTCATATATATATATATATATATATATATATATATATATAT